TCAAATCTAAGGGGGTACTCAGGAGTTTTGGTAAAAAAGAGAGCAGAAAAAAACACCTCTTGAGATAAGGGAACTTGCATTATTTGATCATGGTTTTTCTTAACGTTCAAGGAACACCACTACCAGAGCCAGACTAAAGTGCCTTCCCAGGTTCATTCATGACAAATTTCTTGCAGCCCTCCTTAGATTTGTAGTGGTGTATTCCTTATAATTAACGTCGCTAATTCAAATGTTTGAACAGAAAAATGGTTGATGTTGCCTAAAATGTTATTGATTTATTGTTGTTTACTGACTGATTCCTCCTGGACTATAATTGAAGGCAGGATATTTCCACTGGGTTTTGAATTGAAGCTGTATGTCAAAATAATTTTCCCTGTTCTTTTCCATCATTTTTTAGGAAGAAACTATTCGTGAGACTATTGAAGATGCTGGATTTCCAGCCACATTGATTGAAGATGAGATCAATGAAAGACCCAGTCAAGTATGCAGAATTCAGATCAATGGAATTAGATGCACTTCGTGCTGCTGTACAGCTGAAATAGTTCTGCAAGCAATTCATGGTGTACAAAGAATCCAGCTAGCCTTGGAAACTGAAGAGGCTGAAGTTTACTATGATCCAAAGATCCTGAACTCCAACCACCTACTAGAAGCCATGGAAGATATAGGATTTCAAACCATGCTCGTGAGCGCTGGAGAAGACGTGAGCAAGATAGATCTTAAAGTTGATGGTTTAGGGGCAGGTCATTCAATGCAAATAATAGAAAATTCTCTTCAAACACTTCCAGGAGTTCAAGCAATCGAGATAGACTCTGAACTCGATAAAGTTTCCATCTCTTACAAACCAAGTATGACAGGTCCTAGAAAATTCATCAAGGCCATTGAATCAGCTGGGTCTGAAAATTTCAAGGGACTTGTGTATCCACAAGGAGAAGAGAAAGAAACTCACAGACAAGATGAAATCAAGCAATACCGTAGCACCTTCTTATGGAGTTTGGTTTTCACAATTCCTGTGTTTCTAATTTCCATGGTATTTATGTATATCCCCATAATTAACTGTCAGCTAGACACCAAAGTAGTCAATATGCTAAATGTAGGAGAGGTATTGAAATGGATGCTATCCACCCCAGTGCAATTCATTATAGGCCGGAGATTCTATACTGGATCTTATAAAGCATTGCGGCGTGGTTCAGCTAACATGGATGTTTTGATTGCTTTAGGAACCAATGCAGCCTACTTCTATTCAGTCTACTCAGTACTGAGAGCTGCTGGCTCTCCAGATTTTGAGTGTGCCGATTTCTTCGAGACTAGCTCAATGCTAATCTCAATTATTCTTCTTGGGAAGTACCTCGAGGTAATGGCTAAGGGAAAGACATCTGAGGCCATTGCCAAGCTTATGGACTTGGAACCTGAGACGGCAATATTATTAACCCTGGATGATTATGGGAACATTTTAAGCGAAGAAGAAATAGACAGTAGGCTGGTACAAAAAAATGATGTGATCAAAATTCTTCCGGGTGCAAAAGTTGCTTCAGATGGTCTTATCATCTGGGGAGCAAGCCATGTGAATGAGAGCATGATAACAGGAGAAGCAATACCAGTGAAGAAGGGGATGGGTGACCCCGTGATTGGGGGCACTTTAAATGAAAATGGGGTACTGCATATTAAAGCAACGAGGGTTGGATCAGACAGTGCCCTTTCACAGATTGTTCGGCTTATTGAATCAGCTCAATTGGCTAAAGCGCCGGTGCAGAAATTTGCTGACACTATATCCAAATACTTTGTGCCTCTGGTAAGTCCATAACAAGCACGAATACATTTCTTTAGTTCGTTTGTTAATTTCTTTTTTATCAACTAGCTGAATTATTCATGTGAACAACTGAACCTTTTTTTTCAGGTCATCATTCTTTCATTTTCAACTTGGCTAACCTGGTTTTTAGCTGGCGTGTTTCATGGCTATCCAAAATCATGGATACCACATTCCATGGATAGCTTTCAGCTCGCACTCCAATTTGGAATCTCTGTCATGGTCATAGCCTGCCCATGTGCTCTTGGATTGGCCACTCCGACTGCTGTTATGGTTGGTACAGGAGTTGGAGCATCTCAAGGTGTTCTAATCAAAGGGGGGCAAGCATTAGAAAGTGCACATAAGGTTAACCAGAATATTCGATTTTCCATTTACAAATTCTGGATCTTCACAGATTACTTGTCATGGAGGTGGTAAATGATCTTGTAGGTGAACCGCGTCATGTTTGACAAAACTGGAACTCTTACAATTGGAAAACCAGTGGTGGTCAAAACAACGCTGTTGAAAAGCATGGTACTTCAAGATTTTTATGAACTCATTGCAGCAACTGAGGTAAGCTTTTTTCCATGGAAAACCTACAGTTTGCCTTATGTATACTACTCTTCTTTTATGATGACTATAAGTTAGCACTGAGGTAGCATATCTTTCTCAGATGAATAGTGAGCACCCTTTGGCCAAGGCTATTGTAGAGTACGCAAAGAAGATCAGAGAAGATGAAGAAGACCCTGTTTGGCCTGAAGCAAGAGCTTTTGAGTCCATTACTGGCTATGGAGTGAAAGCAACTGTCAGAAACAAGGAAATAATAATTGGAAACAAGAGCTTAATATTGGACCAGAACATTGCTATTCCAGTTGATGGAGAACTGATGCTTGCCGAAACTGAAACAATGGCTCAAACTGGGATTTTAGTGTCAATTGACCGGGAAGTGACTGGAATTCTAGCCATATCAGATCCTTTAAAACCTAGTGCCCGTGAAGTCATTTCGATTCTCAAGTCCATGAAAGTTAGGAGCATCATGATCACAGGTGATAATTGGGGAACTGCCAATTCAATTGCGAAGGAAATTGGGATCGAAACTGTTATTGCAGAAGCAAAGCCTGAGGAGAAAGCTGAGAAAGTGAAGGAATTACAGGTACATTTGTGCACCTTGCACCCCCTATTTTCCCAGGATCTTGTTAGCTGTGAAAGTTGTTTCCAATCTCTTTGATTCACAGGCTACAGTGTTTCCAATCTCTTTGATTCACAGGCTAGAGGCTTTACAGTGGCCATGGTAGGTGATGGTGTGAATGATTCGCCAGCACTCGCAGCAGCCGATGTTGGAATGGCAATTGGTGCAGGCACAGATATTGCTATAGAAGCAGCTGACATAGTTCTGATGAAGAGCAATTTGGAGGATGTGATTACTGCTATAGACCTATCTAGGAAGACCTTTTCCCGGATTCGCCTAAACTACATATGGGCTTTGGGGTATAATCTCATTGGCATCCCAGTAGCTGCCGGGGCGCTTTTTCCTGGCACTGGGCTCCGTTTACCACCATGGGCTGCTGGAGCTGCAATGGCAGCATCTTCAGTCAGTGTGGTTCTGTGCTCCCTCTTATTGAAGAATTACAGAAGGCCCAAGAAACTGGAAAATCTAAATATTCATGGAATAAAGATCGAGTGATTAATAACACTAGTTTCGGCTCAGGTTTCTGAATAGATGTTGATCAGGAGTTGATTGAGAGCAATGTAGGCGATACGTAGAAAAGCGTTGCCAATTGACTAGTGCTCCATGAGAAATATTATATGAAGGAAATTTGCAAAAAAGATTTTAAACAAGGCTCATGAAATGTTTGAATTTTGTTCATGTTTAAGGTACTCATTTAGGATTCCACTTCAACCTGTTTTTCATGAAAGTTTGATTTTATTTTATTTTAAATTAATTTTTTAAATATTTTTGGATTGTTTTGATGTGTTGATGCAAAATCTAAATTTTAAAAAAATATTATTATTATTTTAATAAATTTCCAAGCAAAAAACACAATGAAAAACAACCATTACCACCATTCCAAAGACCTTTGAAATGATAATCACCACAGCAAGACTAGTGAAAGTCTGGAATTCTTTCACTGGTTTGCAGATGAATTCTTTCACAGGTGAAAGTCTTGGTGCCACCAATATAAGATATGTAGCAAAGTGTTTTGCCACCTCAAGAATGCCAACAAGACGATTTTTAAATATGTAGGATGCAAGGGGATTTTGCTACTGAATTTTCATAGGATGGTTGTGGGATAGCTACTAGAATTTAATTGGCCTTGCCTGAACTATAATATTTAATTAATGTTGTATTTTTTAATCTTAACTTTTAATGTCATGTTTTAAAAATGCAATATTATTTAAATATTACATTTTAAAATTATAATATCTTCAAACTGTGTTACTTCTTAAAATATATATATATATATATATATATATATATATATATATATATATATATATATATATATATATATATATATATATATATATATATATATATATATATATATATATATATATATATATATATATATATATATATATATATATATATATATATATATATATATATATATATATATATATATATATATTTGTGTTATTTCACCGAAATATTTTACTTTCTATGCTAATATCCCATTACAAGCCTTTATTTTTTGGTTCACGAGGGTAAAATGGGATAAACACTAGATTCACTGTGGACATCCACATTGTTTCTCCTGCACGGTAGAGTTTTTTTTAATTTTAATTAATTATAGTGCTTTAGGACCAGCACCGTTTAGCATTTCCCAGGTATTTTGGCCAAGAAGCCTCTCAGCTTTTGCCGATGAGAAGAACATCGTCTATGCATGGTAAAGTATGTGCTTGGATGCTTCCACCAAATCAAATTGGATGCTGTGCTTGCTTATAACCCTTGTGAAGATCCATGACGTAGATTCTGTTGCCACGAGTCTCTTACACCCTAGAAAAACTTTAATGCAATTGATAAGACTGTAAATCAAAATTGCATAAGAAATGAACGCAAAGTCTAGAATGTCAGCAAAATACGGATGCAGTCTAGGCAGTATAAGCCATTGGATTTCGATGGTGATATTAAAGTCAACTCCAATGGTTGCCAATGCTCAGCATTGTAGCTAAACCCAGAATCAAATAATGATAGGCTGACATTTTAATCACTCAAGAGCTTAAACACCCACTGACAATTTTTTTATCCAAAAGAGTTCCACAACGACGGTTCTGGTGTCTATAATAATACATAATCCCTTTTAAGCCCGAAATTGTCATTACAAAACATCACAAAATATCAAAAGTACTTAAATTAATACGTTGTGGACTGTGGTCCCCTCATTATTTGATCCAGTCTTGCTGCACAAAATCCTTGGCTCAAAGTTATGCATGATGAACCAAGAAATATTTACTCTATTTACGTTGCATCTGTAATTTAACTTTGGCTGCAAAGAGGGTTTGATGCACTTCATCAAAGTGTGGTTTTGTTGCATTTTTGGTATCCTCAATCCACTGCTGAATCTTCTTGTGTGGACCAAGTATGCGATTGCGATCCGTTTCATCTGCAAACTGAAGACCCAAAAAAGTTTTACTTTCAGATAACAAATGCCTTTAGTTTAGCAACTTCATTTCCTCGGTATCAAAAGGGAATAGAATGTTCAAGGCAAGTTTAAAGCAACAAAGATTCCTAGCTCACCAAGTGTAAGTCTGTGTGGGTGTGGGTGTACGGGTGTATGTTTTTGAAAGAAAAAGGAAAGGAAGAAATCCCCCCCCCTCCCCTAATGAATTAGTGGATACAAGATGAACTACCATAAATCCTAAAACAATGAAAAAAGCAGCTTGGTCTAGGTTTCAGCTCTTTTTGAAGAAACATGTGAACTTGAGGTGTGAGGCCTCCTACACATCAACAAAGCAGGGAAGTTCACTCAAAACATCAGCTTACTGCTATTGATCTAAACAGTCACAGAAAATCAATGTAAAAGCAAGCAGCTGGGACAAAGATTCCTCTTTCTGCATCAATAAACATAAGGTGGTGCTCTAATGAAGAGAGCTGGATTTCAAAATACTGCCAAGAAGACACCAAACACATTGCTACATATCCATATCTTATCTCTCTCCATAATGTTTTGTTGTGGTTGTGATTGTGATTGTGGGAATGGAAGAGCCCTTGGGTGGTGTTGTAAAAGGGAGGAATGAGGAAGTGGGGATTTTTCCTTGCATTCAAATTAAGTAAATCCTCACTCCCAAAAAAATTATATCCTATCAAATTTTTAGCTAAATCCCACTATCCATTGAATTTTCTCCCATAATAGCGGCAACACTAGTTGTATTATATAGAAATTAATGTTCATATCTACATACCTCTAGTTGCATTATCTCACAGACGAGGCATAGATCAGCTATGGATGGTTGGCTACTGCCTAGCAAGAACTGGCCGCTCTCTTTAAGCCACAGAGCCTCTATCTTTGACAGGGATGAGGACAAAACTTTCTCGGCTTCGGCAGCTGCTTGCGGATTCAGAGGTCGACCAAAAAAAGGTGCTAGTAAAGCATTCTGAATAAATTCAGCTGAAGAAGCATCAAGTTGAAAAACATTGGTTTCATCAGAACAAAGTACACGTGGGAAAGGAAAATAAGCAAAACCTTCAAAATGGAAGTTGCAAGGACAATACAATCCAAAATGTCTATTTCAGCATTTAACAAGTCAGAACAAGATGACATAGACAATATGAGATAGCAAATCCAACAAATGTTTCAGATTAGATTTACAATGACGTACTTGAGCCACGACGTAAGTTGGAGTGATGCCAATCCAAAATTGAGTGAATTTCAGCTCTCCTGTAAAGATCAGCTGGATACCTAACAGTTGAGCAAACCCTCTTAAGAACTAGTCACAGCATACAATCTTATAAAAAATTCAATTAATCTTCAAGTACACTAAGAATCCTGCATCTAAAGAACTAGTCACAGCATACAATCTTGTAATAATATAAAAAATTCAATTAATCTTCAAGTACACTAAGAATCCTGCTTCTGAAAGCACTTGGAAACCAAACACACAGTGTCACCGGCATTATACAAAAACTAACATGCTTTTTTTAGTGTGATTATAACAAATATCCAATTCATCAGCAGTAGATAGGTTTTAGAACATAGAAATATGACTCACGTTTTCCATTTTTACATTTATATCCTAAAGTGAAGTGATAATGTACAAAAGCTGCCTTCCTTAAACAAAAGATAACAGATTAAGAATGTGGCCCAGAACTCTCAAGTGCCAAGAGAGTTCCAGGTTCGTTGGACACAGTTTTAGGTATTGAGAACATAAATGCTTACATAAACTCTATGTCATTTTCAATAACCATTTCATTCACTTTCCAAATATGTATTTCATTTTAAGCCATTCATGTCACATACAAATACACAAAAATTCTTCACAATGGATATACAGTTGTACTAACCAGTGATCAGCAACTCCAGGAAATGCAGAAGCAAGAAAGATTAGGATCGTGTGACTGCAAAGACCAATGAACAATTTAAAAACTAAATTGATGAGTAAAAATTTCATGGGTCGAAAGGGAGTACAAGTTCTCACACAGTAGTAACAATTTATGCAAGGTGGACATATATAACCTATATCATAGAGCGAAGTTGCTCGCAGCAAGCTCGAGTCTTAGATTTCCAGGAACCAATACATTAGAGATCAATCACAAGAACGAGCAAGCAACTGACAGTTTGTGCTTAGATTACCTCTCAAAAAGCTTGAACTTTCCATCAACTACAATAGCTGGCACCTTTCCCATAGGATTTATTTCTGAAATTACAATCAAGATTTAGATAGTGTCACAACTTCATGCTAGAGATCAGTCATTAGCACAATTTTAAGCAACCAAAACACTTGATCAACATAATTTCCATCAGGGGTGGTCTCAATTTGCAAATAGAAAACAAAAGCCTCAATTTTTAGACAAAAGGACACCACATCAACACATATATAAGCATATGGAGAGAAGAAATACTTGATCGAGGAGTACCTTTGAATTCAGGAGTTAGATGCTGACCCTTTAATAACTCAATTCCAACCTCTTCAAAGTCTATCTTGTTTGCCCTATACAAAAAAACATGTGAAACTCAGATCAAATAAATTGAATGAATTTAAAAGGAACCCAAGTTCAAAACATTTTCAGTACGATTACATCAAAGAAGAAACCATCACAGAGGGAATTCAAAAGGGTCTTTTAAAAAAGTAAAAAATTACTTGCAGAAGATGACAATTGCCCTTGATGGCTGTGACAGACGATCTACATATACTTTCAGCTCCATTTTCTTCAATCACTCTTGAGACTTGGTACTGATTTTTCTTCGTTTTTTTTTTTTTTCTGAGCAGTGCGACTGATGATTTTCTTCAATCCCTTTCTTTTATTAGGCTTTGAAACCTTCCCCTAGATGTACATTAGTCAAAGGAGTGTTTTTTCCTCGAAGATAGGCACTAAAATTAAAGTTTTTTTTTAAAAAAAAAACCCAACCTTTATAACATGGAGGCTTCCCGGTGTCCGGATGTGTATTGAATGATTCACTGCAATATTATAGTTACTATTTTACCTTTTCAAAGAAAAATTAATTATCTTATCTAAATTACATTTAAAAACAAAATTTATTTTACTAAAACCTAAGAAAACTTTAATTATCCTGGCTAATAATTTTTTATTTGTTATTATTGATTATTTTTCATAATATTATTAAATTAATCAAACTTACTAAATTTAATTAAATCAAATAAATAATCTGATTATTAATATTTTTCTTAATTATTTTATTAACATCATCATCGATTAAATATTTTTTTATATTAGAAAAGCTTAAAACACATAGTTGATAAAACAAAATACCTAATGTAACATAATTTATAGAGACACGAAATTCATAAATGCATGACATGCTAGCAAGCCTTATATGTTTATTTTTCTTTCTTTCTTTCTTCTTCTTTTTCTCCCTTCTATCTCCTCCCTTTCCCTTTTGTGCCATCTCATCTCATATCTTCTTCTAGCCATTGGATTGTTTTTGTTTCTTTTATAGGCACCGCATCTTCATAAAACATGCATGTTAACTTTGGTACATTTAAATGCTTAGAGAGGAATTATTTTGTATGGTAATGCACAGATATATAGAAGAGCAAATTGAATTGGGCACATCATGAAGGTCGCATTTATATGTTAAGGTGGGCTGCACGGGTAAGATCTTGTTCTTGAATTTTTCATCTTTGATCAATGTTATTTTCAATTGTAGTATTTTGATCTCACAACTTTATTTCATTTAAATCTTTTAATATAAAAATGAGAGAGAATGAAAGAGAAAAGGCCACCAAAAAGGAAAAGGAAATAGAAAGAATTCAGCTTTATATAGCTCCAAAAAAAAAAAGTCAATTTTTGCACCAAAAGATTTGTCTTGAATAATCAAGTTTGATGGAGATAAATTTATTTTTTAATAATATTAAAAAAAAAAGAAGTAGATTTTGAGATTGTAAGAGCACTCATCTCAGTTCCATATTCAACAATTTATTTATTATAAAATTTTATTTCCTCTCTGATGCAATTATCTCATCATCTACTAAAATATTTAAATGAATAGAGAAATCAAAAAAAGCAAGCATATACTTAGAAAATATTTTAAAAGACTAAGAGAAACTCATGAACAATGAGCCTATACTTTAAAAATCTTATAAGAGGCTGAAAAACTAAGGAAAAGAAGCTCATACTTATAAGATTTTCTAAGTAGTTGGAAAGTCTCATTGAAGAGTCATGTAAGTCTAAGACTACAATGAAGAGGCATAATATTCTAGATTAATCCATGAAGATTTCTTGACACTCAGAAGCCTCACTGAAGAGTCATGCAAGTCCAAGACTGCAATAAAAGGATAAGAGATTAGAGATCAATCCCTTGAGATTGCATTGGAGATGCGAAAAATCCAAGATCAATACTTGAAGATTTCATGAAGTTTGAAAACCCCACAAAGATTTACAAATAGAAAATACTTGTCAAAGATATAATTATTTTATTTTAAACATGAACTTATTTTTTATTGAGGATAATGCATCCTAATATAATATGTTAGACTTTAAGGAGCTTAGGGAGTTCGGCGTGAACGACAAGATTGATAACTGAGTTCCAATCTATGGTAGCTAGGGGGACCGCATCTAAAGTATTAGCTACGAGCATGGGTATCGCAATGGCACGAGCAATCTATAGAAGGACTTGGCGAGTGTAAATTTAAATACTCTCTTAGAAATCATTCTAGCTAAGCTCTTTTAGGTAATGCAATTGCTTATGGGCGCTAGGAGCGGCCAGTAATGATGGTGATGGGGTCAAGTGTGTTACCACAAATGCCAAAACTAGCTGGAATGGTAAAGTTTGATTTTTCTCCTAGGTTGCTAGCGTAGCTTGGGTAAAAACATGCACTTGATTGATAAGTTTTTGAACATTTAATTAAGCAAAAGTGCTCATGATGATGATAACAAACAAATTCATCGATCTAGCTTAGATATGTCATGGTTATGTGCCATAGAATGATATGAAAATGTTAAAAATAAAGTTTATGAAAAAAATTGATATTTTTTTTAATCAATTTTCTTATAAATAATGTCAATGATGATGTTCTTATAAATTCAAGTAATTTAGAGACAAGATTTATATGTTAGAAAATCAGTTAATTTTTCAGTTTTAACAATCTAATTCATGCTCTTAAAATATATATGTTCAATAAATAGTTTGGACCTATGTTATTTTAAAGAAAATTTTTGAGCATTGAAGGGATTTTTAAAACTGTTAAATTTAAGTTCATCAATGTACAAAGCCAAAAAATAAAAAAAATACATTTCCATAAAGAAGGAAAAAGGTACCTTAACATTTAGGAACCTCATATTAACCCATTGTTATCAGTTAAATCTCACATCTTCTATTTTTCTTTTTATTTTTTTGAAAAGAAATCTCATATTTTTTATTTCATTAATTTTCTCTCCAAATATAATAAATATTAGACAACATCTTCCATCCATCCTTAACACTTAAAAGAATTAGTACAATTTTCACGTGATTTACATGAGTTTATTAAGTGGTTTCAACTGAAAAGCCAAGATATACCTCAATTTTTCTTAAAAGACAATGTTAGCGGAAAACTTAATACGAGTTCATGTTAAAACTTGTCTTTTAGGGTAGACGGATACTTCTTTTATGTCTTAAATGGAGGCACCTAGTGATCATTTTTAAATCATAATTAACGTATTTTTTAATAATAAATTTTTTATTTTTTTTTAAATTTATTATTATCATCAAAATAATAAAAAAATTAAAAAATTAATTTAAAACAGAAAAAACTTAAAAATTTTCAAAAAAAAAAATTAACCTTAAAAATAAACAATTTCTGCTACGTTAGATTAATTCAAAACGTTCAGCAATGAGGCTATAATATCAACTTTAACGTAGGATTTAATTGATCATAAAACAGCGTTAGTAGCAAAGAAGTGCCGTTTCGGAAAGAGAGGTAATGGTACGATCACAGCTCTCTATTTACAACATGATAGACCCTCTCTTCCAGCCGTTCGATTAAGTCAAATAACCCCACGCCCTTAAAATACCTCTTGATCAGTGGCTGACGCCGACAGAACCCATAAACCTACAAGGAATCCATCACGTGGTAGCACTACCCTTCCCCGTCAGACACTTGGCATTTTATCCATGGCGCACACAACCAAATTCAAATCAGTTACTTACGGCAGTAACTGGATCACCAACAAGAAAAAAACACAAGCTCATGACACGCAAAAATGAAATGCGCAGCAGCTGATTATCTCTCTGCTTATAACAGTAAAACTGGAAAAAAAAAAAAAAGAGAGAGAGAAGAAGCTGGCTTTTCCCGCACCTTATTGCTGCTGCTGCACCAGTAAGTAGAGAGACATTTGTAGAATCAATTACAGAGAAATTAGATATGTTCTCTCTCTCTAAAGCTGCATTAGTTTGGTTCTCTCCCCTCGTTTCTCGCGCCCAGCCATGACACATGCATCTCTCTCTTTCTCTGTCTCTTTATTTCATGGAGGGCCGACTTAAATGCAGCTGCAGGCACCTTCATGATTGCTTGAAAATGTTTGCCAGCTGAAGTTTTCTTTCCTTTTCTTTTTCTTTTTTTTAGTTTTTGTTCTCGTATTGACGAAACCAATTATAAAGAAGGTGAAGCTTTTTCTTTCTCTGTTTCTTTTCTCCACTCCTTGATTGTTTTTTTATTGGAAAAAATGAGCTCAAAGAAGCAATCTTTGGCTTTTTATTTTTTCTAATACCATATTGAATCGTGAAATGTGAATGATGTTCGCTATAATCACTTTTCTGCACTTCTTTTTCTAGTTTCGATGAATGAACCAATGCGTGAACATGCATGTTCTTCTTTGATTTCGTGCCTTTTGCTCTTTGATGCATCCATTCCTGTTTGGTTGCCGAGAAAATTGAGTAAAATAGAATGTTATTCATTGAAGCAGCCAGTTCAGTTTGATCTGATTTCCATAATAATTTGAAACTCTTAAGAAATGCATGATTTTGAATTTTTTATTTTATTTTATGTCTTTTTGTTAGCTAGCTGGGGCCCAAAAGTATGGAAAACCCTCATGGCTTCTCTTTTTTTATTGTTTTCTCAAGCCTTTATAATAAATATATTATTATATTATTATTAAATGGAAATATTCATTTGGGATGAAAAAGGTCATGTGTCTTTAGGCGTGATTTTTGGATCTTTAATATAAAAGAGTGGACTGACTGATCATATGATAAATAGTTAGCTAGGTACTTGGTTTGCTCTTCTTCTTCTATTCTTTTTTTATTTGAATGTGTTTAGTTCTTTTCAGTAGGGAGTCTATCACATGCATCAATTTAATTAAGCATTTGACTTTTAGAATTCCTTTGATTTCTTCTTAAGGTCTCAATTTCAGCAAATTTAAGTCAACTACTAGCACTTTCCTAAAGGAATCTCTTGAGGGGTTATTAAAGAAAAGGAGTCGTCATTTGCTTAAAATATAAAAGTACTCTAGTGGTGTTTGCTCCATCCACTTAATTTTCCAGATTCATAGGAATTTAGTGCTATTTTCAGGTAAATAATATGTTAATTTTCGAATGGTTAGATGTAATGATGGAATTAATGAAGCATGTTAAACAAATTGGATGAAAATGTTTTAGAGCCTTCATGATTGAATTGTCCTGGATGGACACGAGCCAAGGTAAATGCTAAGTCTACGAGTGTTGGTTACTGGGATTTTTTTGAATGACTGGAGATGGTGTCCTCTCTGCTTGATACATATCAGCTCTGCTGTGAATTGAGCCGCTGGGAAGGTCTAGCCATCGTTGTAGCAATATTTAACTAGTCATTAGTTGGCATGTAAATTATTTTGACACAGCTAGCCCC